AGTGTCGAAGAAGTCCTGACCTGGAACCTGATTAAAACCTTTCGCAACCAGCCTGGCTTTATGCCTTTCAATAGCACCATCAGCCTTTCTCTTCGTACAAAACACCCATTTACAGCCAATAATATTCATACCTGCAGTGGGTGGAACTAGAGACCATGTGTGGTTATGCAGGAGAGCATTGAATTCTTGGTCCATGGCTTCACGCCACTCAGGATATTTGACAGCTTGAGAGTAACATGTGGGTTCCGTGGGATGCACTTGAGCTGCTAGAGCAAAAAGAGGAGCATCTGCGTTGCTGCGAGTGGCCATAGAGTGAGTACGGACATTGGGCCTGATGGACCGCCCACGTGGACGGCCTCGCCGGCGAGCAACAGGCTCCACAGGATCACCCGACAAGGCAGCCTGTCCAGGAACCACGGCTGGTTCGAATGAAACAGGTAGCGGCGGTTCTGGCAGCTCATCATTGGACACGGCAGGAATAGGTGTGCTGTGACTGAGAACAGATTCCGCCCAAGGTCCAGAAAACGGAGTAGATAGATCCTGCAAAGAAGTTTTAGTAGCAAAGGGGAAAACTTCTTCATCAAATCTGACATGCCTGCATGTGTAAATCTTATTAGTATGTAAGTCCATGCATCTGTACCCCCTAAAGGACTCAGGATAACCTAGGAAGACACATGGAGAAGACCTGTATGACATCTTATGACGATTATATGGTCGAAGATGAGGGTAGCATAAACACCCAAAGACACGAAGAAAAAGATAGGAATGAGGGGATTTATGTAACAGGAGATGAGGACTGGAGTTATTTAATACAGAAGATGGCATTCTGTTAATTAAATAGACAGCAGTCTCAAAGGCAAAATCCCAAAATTTCAAAGGAACAGAGACATGAGCTAGAAGAGCCAGACCAGTTTCAACAATGTGACGATGTTTTCGTTCAACGCGACCATTCTGTTCATGTGTATAGGCACAGGATTGTCTATGTTGAATTCCTAATTGAACAAACAAAGAATGAAACTTTTTGTACTCAGCACCTAAATCAGACTGAATGGCCTTTATTTTGCAATTAAAGGACCTTTCAACCAGAGTACGAAATTTATCAAAGATGACATAAAGATCATACTTTAATTTCATAGGAAAGAACCATGTATAACGGGAATAGTCATCCACAAAGATCACAAAATAACGGAAGCCAGAAGTAGATAAAGTGGGCGCAGGACCCCAAATGTCTGTGTAAATAAGATCTAGGACTTGAGAACTAGAGGAAGCAACACGGGGGAGGGGAAAACGGGCAGATTTGCCTAATTGACACGCATTGCATAAAGAATTATGACAACGAATATTATCACGAGACCCACTAACCAAACAAGAACGAAGTATATGGCTAAGAACACGGTTATGAGGATGACCTAGACGATTGTGCCAAGTGGAAGCCGAGGCACGAGCGGAAATAAACGCTGACGGAGACGAACTAGGTAATGAAAGTGTGTATAGTCCCCCCGAACTATTGCCCCGAAGAAGTATTTCCTTGGTATTGATATCTTTTACAACAAAAAAGGAGGGGTGAAACTCAAAAAAGACTTTATTATCGGATGCAAACTTCTGAACAGATAATAAAGAATTAGACAAACGCGGAACGTGAAGTATATCAGACAATGTAAATGATCTAGAAGGGGTATTAAAAGAGGCATGGCCAACATGACTAATAGATAAACCCATACCGTCACCGACACGTAAAGTGTCATTACCAGTGTACTTCTCCGATGTAGAAAGGGCAGCGATGTTCGGAGTTGCATGATTTGTGGCTCCAGTGTCCGGAACCCAAGTATGAGAATTTGACGAGGTTTTAGCAACTAAACCATTCTGAAACACCAAATTAGCCTGAGAACCCGGAGCCCCTGAATATCGCCGAAAACAGTTGACTCCCGTGTGACCGAAACTTTTGCAAATTTGACACGGATCATTATAGCGCCAAAAACAATTGGCTCCCGTGTGACCAACACGTTTACAAATTTGACACGGATCATCATAGCGCCAAAAACAATTGGCTCCCGTGTGACCAAAACGTTTACAAATTTGACACGGATCATCATAGCGCCAAAAACAATTGACTCCTGTGTGGCCGAAACCTTTACAGATTTGACACGGATCATCGAAGCCACGTTGCTGATCTCCACGGTAATTAAGGTTGTCATCGCAGCGCTGCATCTTCTTAATTTTATGAATCACAAAACCCTAGCTAACTGATACCAGATAAGAACTAATTGTATTATATTTTCTGAACTTAATTACAATGAGATCAGATGATGTGAATATATAAAATAGAGAGTCACAGTGTGACAATGATAAGAAGTAGAGAGTCACAGTGTGACAAGGATAAGAAGTTCTAAACAGACTCATATACATAGAGTCCTAATAAATTTAACCTTTCATATTTAAAAGATTAATGTTTGAAAGAAGTTCAAACTATACAATTATATAAAGCAAGATCGTAGGTTTATTGGAGTAATTCATCATAAATCATGCCATATAAACTCAAAACAATAAGGCAATTACAAATGTAATATTAATGTACGAACAATATCTTCTAAAATTGAGAATTCTTATTGATGACATATTTCAAATACCATCAAGAATCTCTAAAGATGTTATGTGAATTACAACGTTAAAACTCTAGAAGTTCAAACTTTGACGAGAACACAACCCTAAATGTGGCATGGCCAAATATGAACAATTAGATTTGAGATTCAACACATGAGAATGGAAAGAAGTATGGAACATGAGACCGTCCAAGCATGCTGCTTAGTTCTTCACAAGCATATTCAACAATGATAATAAACTCTAGCAAGATCAAGTACTAGTTATTGCAATGTGCTTTATTATTGACAACAAACACTAGTCATCCTTCTTAATTGGACGTTTAGTAACCGTGATTAACTCTTCACAATTCTATTAGGTCAAGAATCACTACTGGAAATTCTGAAATTTCCAACCACCTGAAAATGATCTTAAATTAAGTTGATACCAAAAAGTCCAAAAAGTGATCGGAAATAGCAACAAAGGTTTTTCCGGATACCAAAAGTGGTCGGAACAAGCCTTTCAACTTGATTTAAGATCACTTTCAGGTGGTCGGAAATTTCAAAATTTCCAGTAGTGAATATGGGTCTTTAAGCGAAAATTTCACCTTTTGTGAACAACATTAATAATAAAACATCTTTAATCTTCTATAGAAAATGTTATTTACCCCTCATAATTTTTTCATAATATTTTATCTACATAATCTGGCTTAGGCCATCCACATCTGTTGATAATGAACAGTTTCTAAGAAAAATTATGTCATGTTGGCGGAGAGAGAAGCAAGAGAGAGAGAGAGAGAGTTGAAGAGCATCTCAAAGAGAGAGATTTTTGAATAGTAATATGTGTCATAGGAAAAGGTTGAGCAGCTTGAGGCTATGCATGTTTCGCGCACAGCAAATGCTCACATGGGCGCGTGTAGTGCACACAGACACAGTGCGCCTGTCAACATAGGCGGATCCAGTATGGGGGCAGCTGCCCCCACTCACCCCACCCCCACCCCATATATAATCTTTGTATGTATATATGTATATAGTACAAGATTTATTATAAGTATAGGAAAATAGACAATGATTAACAAAAGTAGCATCAGATCAGTTGGCAAAGCACGCCTTTCATATTGAGACAAGGCATGGGTTCGAATCTTGCTTTGGCACACGCTGTGCTTTTTCTTTTACGGTTCTTAAGTGCAAAATTTCAACACAGCTTTTTTGTTTCAATACTATTAATACTTAATAGTATAAAATATTAATAATGAGTCTATTATATAAAACCTTTCTTTTATTAATAATAATAATAAGATGTTATGTGTTTTTTATTTGAATTATTTTATCAAGTTAATTATATTTCATATTAATGAGTCTATTATATAAAACTTTTTTTTGTTATTAATAATAATGAGATGTGTAATTTATAATGTGTTTTTTATTTGAATTATTTTATCAAGTTAATTATGTTTCATATTTTTTTATGAATATTTTATAAAGTTTTGATGTGTTTTATTTTTCGTTCATATCTAACAATATTTATAACTATACTTCTTAAGTGTTTCATTTTTTTTTTCAAACTATCTGTTTATTTTAATGTTTCGCCCCCACTGGAGAAAATTCCTGGATCCGCCACTGCCTGTCAATGTTTTTTTTTATTAAATCAGTATGCTTCTTTTTTTTTTTTTTTTCCTTTTTTCTCTCCTCTTCCATATTCTTTTTCCTAATCACACTTACAAAAACTCTTCAAAAATCCAAAAAAAAAAAAAACTTCATTATTATGGATGCTCTTATATTCATTGGGTATTATTAATTGGCTTACCCCACACACTTTAAATAAAATGCTAAATGATTCAATTAAATTGTGTCATAGCATGAAAAGAAATTGGGAGGTATGTTTTTAGCTGAGGTACCTAGCATTACTGATCTTTTATTATTTAACAAGTCAACGTCATTGCTGTCTTCATTTAAATTGTTACCCAGTTATGTATAGGTGGCAAACTGGGTTCCGTTGAAATCCTAAACAGATTGAGCAGAAATCTGAACAACTGCGGGCCGACTATTGGCATGCAGTTATTAGATGCCACAATTGTCTTATTAGCACAAATGCAGAAAAAATAAAAAAGATTTGAATTGGCAGTTTGGCATGTCCTTTAATGCTTTCAAAGCAACTACGATGAACTTAGCTGGCATCTTAAATATGGGGCGGTTAGCTCACTAACTCTAATCACCAGATGGAACTTCATTTCTGAGGTACAACGCGTTTCATCAATTTTGATTGCCACCTTCTCCACTCTCCATTGACTTCACAAAACCAACTTTAATGTCACTTTCTGGCCATCTTCCATTGTTCCATCATGCCTCCGCGACCACGCAAATATATTCATTGCTTCATTTTTCAGTAATAAAATATCATCTCCACCTTATAAATACCACATTCTCCTCCCATTCTCTTCAAACCCAGAGCATTTGAATACAAAGCATTTCTCTCTACTGATCTCTATATTTTAGTTTAAAAAATCCCAGAATGGCTACAAGCTCTTTAGCCCACTTTGCTGTTACATTCTTAATAGTGATTTCATTCTTTAATGTTTGTTTTGCTTCCAGAAAGCTGAATGCTTTATACCAAGAACAGCCAAACCAGCTTCTGCAATACCACAAAGGCCCACTGCTCTCCGGCAAGATCTCAGTCAACTTGATCTGGTACGGCAAATTCAAGCCTTCCCAAAGAGCCATCATCTCCGACTTCTTCACTTCTCTCTCCGGCTCTCAAAAAAGCCAGCCTTCCGTCGCCACCTGGTGGAAATCCACCGAGAAGTACTACTCGCTCGCTAATTCCAAGAAACCTCTTTCCCTCTACTTGAAAAAGCAAGTCCTTGACGAGAGCTACTCGTTAGGGAAATCGTTGACTCAGGAACAACTCGTTAGCCTTGCCTCTAAGGGTGAGGTCAAGGACGCCGTCAATGTAGTGCTGACCGCCGCTGATGTCGCCGTTGCCGGATTCTGTATGAACCGGTGCGGAACGCACGGTTCTTACAGTTCCAAAACTGCCCACGTCAAGGGGAAGAACAACAAGTTCGCCTATATCTGGGTTGGAAACTCAGAAACTCAGTGCCCAGGATACTGCGCCTGGCCCTTCCACCAGCCCGTTTACGGCCCGCAGAGCCCGCCGCTGGTTGCGCCTAACAACGACGTCGGTTTGGACGGAATGGTGATTAACTTGGCCAGCCTGCTCGCCGGAACCGCTACAAACCCATTTGGAAACGGATACTACCAGGGAGAGGCCGGCGCGCCGCTTGAGGCCGCTTCCGCTTGTCCAGGAGTTTATGGAAAAGGAGCTTATCCGGGTTACGCTGGTGACTTATTGACCGACCCGACAACGGGTGCAAGCTACAATGCACATGGTACAAATGGGAGGAAATACTTGCTTCCTGCTTTGTATGATCCTTCCACCTCGTCGTGTTCCACTTTGGTTTGAGAGGGGAAAAAGCATTTAGAGCAGAATCTGCAGGGGATTAACTATATTACATGTAGAAAATTTTATGTAATTTATTCATTTGTTTATTTGTTTCAAATTATATAATAGAAAAGAAATTTAATTTATTTCGTTTCCCCTAATTAAATTGATAACATTAATTTCCGATCAATAACAATTCAATTTGAAGGCTAATAATGTAATATAATGAATAAAGAAATACTCCGTAATTTATAACAACAATTTATGTGAGATCGTCTCATCGTGAGTCGGTCGAGGTCAGATCAAGATGAAAAGTGTTTATTACTTATGGAGTTCTACTACATGGATTCACAAATCTTATTTCCTAAATTTTATTCATTGATCTAATGGCCACGGATAAAAAATTAGTGTACATATCTTATTTTTCTTACTTATACGGCATAATATAAAACTTGTACATCTATATCTATATATATATAAAAGTAAAATCCTCCTAACCAAGTTTTCCCTCCAAAACTTAGGGACATTTCTGTCATATCATTTATTTAATAATAATAATAATAATAATAATAATAATAATAATAATAATAATAATGTTATTACCTAATAATTTTATTACCTTAATTACAAATTATTATACTTTCCTTTTGAATTAGTATTTTCCACCTATAAATACAAAGTATATTTTCATTTGCACTCTATATTATTCACAGGTTCATGATTTCATTTGATTTCTAAGTTTTATATGGTTGTTTCTGAATGCAGCCTGCAAAGCTAGGGGCTCAGATCTCATAGTTCATTTCAAGGTAATATCGTTTTCGTCTTTATTTCGATTTGTTAGGGGTTTGTATATCAAGATATGTTGTTACAGTGTGTCCGATCCAAATGTATGTTTAGTTACTCGTGTAAATGTATGTATATTTGGGGTATATGTTATTTGATTTTGACATTTTTTCTTTAAATGCCCTGAGATCAAAGTGTTCCATTCTGCATGTTGGATTGGTTGTTTTCATCAATTTATTGTGATTTTTTGTGTTGTGGTTACCATTAAAAAGCAGGACCTCTAGCCTACTATGAATGGGTTTCAACAAAAAAGAAATTGAGGAGGAGGAGGCTTGGTAACAGAACCCTAATGTTTTAGTTTTTTATGGAAGAGCGTAAAGATGCGATCGAGGATGATAAAGACAGTGATTTTGATAAACATCGAGATTTGTACATGTCATTATATTCAAGTTTCTATGTTTTTTTTTTTTTTTTTTTTAACAAGCAGCGTTAAGGGTTTACGTGGTTCGTTGGGCAAAACAACAATCAAGCAAAAGCTAAATCGAATTGAGGGGTGAAGACGTTGTAGATAGAGGCCATTTCTCATCCTACTTTGCCTTTTTCTAAAGAGGGTGGGAATGTGAAGGTGAGGAAAGAGAAAAAATAAAATGGAGAGGTTTTTTTTTTTTTTTTACTAGAAGTTTCTATGTTTTCCTTATA